ATTTTTCCTGATTGAGGGGTCATATGAAAGGGCAGAAACTGAACTTTCCAGAAACGTGAATTTTTCTTCCAAATTCAGATACCGCCTGCCAAATGACTTTTTGGTTTCCGTAATTTCCTTCAAATTGCTTTTAATCACTTATGCGTGAAATAGGCATCATATGAGTTGCATCAAATGAAAGAGGAGGATCTAAGCTTTCCAAACATGTGTCATTTATTAATTATAATTGTGATTAAGTTATGATAAAACATCAATAATTCTCGTTTTCGTTTTTCTGGGTCACACTGTATATCATTTTTTAAATGGGATCATATTCACAAGTCAATGTGTGACCGTAAATAGTAAAGTCTGAAAGTCAGCAAACACAGTAAATACCATTCAAAGAAATAAGTCACCAGGCAGGCATAAGTATCACATGACAATTATGTACCTTTCACTTTTGACTTGAACGTATCTATTTGAAATTCACACGGTAGGCACTTTCTAATTCTTGCATAATAACACTAAGCTTTCACATCCTACCTACTTTCATACGTGTAGGTGTGTAATTTGTTCAATATTCTCATCATTTTTTTTACCATGATCCTGACAATCTTTCCATCTCTTCTGTATGAGCATTTCCGACACATTTAAAATACAATCTGGTTCACAAATACATAAGAAGATCTGCAAAAATAACTATGGTTTTCTCCCAATCATAAAGGAGAGAACAGGCACCCATTTCACAAAGACTTTCGTTCAATGACAAATGACAAAAATCAGTCACAAATCTGCTGATAACCAATCAGAAGCAAGGATTTCACTAGCTTCTAACAAAAACTGTCATTTGTCACTGATGACAAGTTTTGTGAAATGGGGCCCAGATTGACAAATCAAAGAACTTAAGCCCCACTGTACTACTTGTAGCTACTTGCTTCCCTCTATATAGCAAACAATGCCTAATCGGTGACCATTGGTCCCCCATGATCCTCTTTGTCTTATGTTAATTGAGAGCTGAGTTGATAAGATAACCACCTGTCAGTGGGCACCCTGGGTGGTCTTATCCCTCCTAGCCAAACTAGTACAGACGGTCTTTAAGATGTTGTTGAGGCTACTACCAACCTTTTTAATTCAGTCAGTCGAGAAGCTTTCGACCACTCCTCTGGTCTAATTAAACTCAAGCCAAGTGATTTTTTTTACAGTTTCTCCAAGATCATTGGAGCAAAGATAGTTGACAATCAATGGACATGAGAAGGTCCACAGGAGTGGATGAAAGATTCCCCTAACCAACTGAAATAACGTCTCTTCAAAGAAGTTATAGTCTTGCCGTTCATTACAAAAATAGTTTTTATTTGAATTGTAACCTAAATATGTATATTATTTTCACATAAAAAAGTAATTCTGGGGTTATGAAAAAAAAATCATTGCACCAACTTTTTAGCTTTTTCATCTCCATTTATGAAGTTAGATCATAAATTTCTCAATAAAATACATCCCTTTGGAGCGAGAAAGGAGTTCACTCGTAACACATAGTGAATGCCCTTCTAGCTCTGACGTTTCTGACCTCTGACCTTTCAACTGACTACAGAGTGCAGAACTCTTGTATTTTTAGTATCATATTTTCCTCATTAAACATTGACAATAAATACTACGTACATTTTAAAGAGAAGAGAGAGAAAATGAGAAAAATATGAATAGGGAGGAAATGACATCAACAATACCTCTAAGAATGTGCAATTAACCAAATTTATTACAAGAAAATCTTAAGGGTGTGTAAATACTTTTAATATTCTACATGTACAGTATGTGGCCTGGGAGAATCAGAACATGGCAATTAAAAAAAAGGCTCAAAAAGTTTGAAGAGAATTTTTTTCTATAAAGCAACTACAACGATGTAGAAAAGCAAACACAACAATTGAAATCCATTTTGTGATGGGGGTGGGGCTTTTTTTTGTTGTTTTTGCATTCATTTTGGGCTAGGGCCCCCTCTCCCAAAGTGCCCCTCTAACTAGAACAGCTACTGGTCCGACTGTCTAAATGGAATACATAGTTCAGAGTGTGTGCAATATGCATGACAGCTAGTCCATTCAGTTAATGCCTTTTGATGCTGGGGCACTTAAAGGGATTGGGTAACTTAGCCTCAGATTCTCAAAAAAAATCCTGGATTTAGCTCAGACGGCAATCATAATTATAAACCTTTAGGTCATACATGAATCCCATGACTTTTACAAGCCAATCGCCTGTCTGATTGTAAAGATATCTAAGATTGGAATTAGAAATTTCAGAATTTGTTTTCCTAACGGTTTTTATAACACTACAGTCCATTGGGGAAAATGAGTATTGTAAAACTGGTCACTCAAAGATTTTTACTTTTTTGAGGCACAATTCATGATAATTTTGAAGCACAATATTTTTTAGGGCTTCAATATTGCACCATTACAGACACTGATAGTTTGTAGGGTCATGCATCTCAGATTTAGTATTGTTCAACATTGCCTTAAAGATTGATCTGAAGAGTGTATTGCTCTTTAATTTCATTTAATGATAAAAACATTACGGGTACAGCTGTCTCAATAAACAAAGCAGATACTACGCCTGTTGGTTGCTGTCTTCAACGGTGTCCCTTTACCATAACAAACCGGTATGCAAATGATCTCATGTACACCATCTAAAATACAGGCATAGAGTCTAGTCTACAGGCGCCAAACCTTTTTAGTTACTGTGCATAACAGTGTCTGCATTGTAAGACTAAGCTGATAGCATACTGCATAGGCTCTGTTCATTAGCTGCTCCAGACATACATAGCTAGGCTATGCACAAGGCTTTAGGAATGATGGTAAAATGCCAATTAAGAGACTGCGTTTTCAGACTACATAGAGTCAAGGGGTAAATGGTATTGAGTACCGAAGCTGTGACATCATAACAATTTTTTTGGAGAATTTCTCAATTTTGTCTTCATTTTCCAAAAGAACATCAAAAATATTGTCCGATTGTCGAAAACCAATTGAATATGTTAAGTATTGGCTGAAATCTGAATAAATAGATGTCCTATAGGAACTCAGTGTTATATTGCTCTGGCTCCTAATGTTACGAACCAGAGCAATATAACACTGAGTTCCTATAGGAAATCTATTTATTCAGATGGTCATATCTCAGCCAATCCGACCTTCGGACATTATTTTTGATGCCCTTTCGGAAAATAAAGAAAAAAATGAGAAATTCAAAAAAGATAATTTGATGACGTCACACTTCACCACTATATAGGGCTGTATAGGAAACTCTTTTGACATCTCTTTATAATTACCTAAGGAAGTAAATCCTTAAAAAAAGTGTTTCATTAACAACTTTTGCTTTCAGGAGACTGAAATAGTGAATCCTAAATTTAAAAAAATGAAAATGCTCTTCAAGATGAATGGCCGCAACAAAAGCTGCTTTTCTTTTCAAGTTCAAGAGGATCAGAAACAGAAACAGTGACCTACATTATGATTATTGTTCCTAACTTCCTACGAAAGGGATATCAAATAAAGTTGAACGATGAACCACTTAATCGAAACCCTCGAATGGACATTCAAAACTATCACTCATGACAATCATTCATAAACCTACTTACACCTTCTAGCAACGTTAACACCAGTGTATTTATACATTTTTTTATTTTTAGTACAGAGCAATTGGGAGACGACCATCGCAAGATACGTCACAGAGTTGTCAATTACGGTGTTTGATTGATCGCACCTTTAAAAATTCACAACTTTCTTATTTTCACACAGATTTTGCTCAAACTTTCACTGACCTGTTCCTTTCATTTTTCTGTTTCCATTAAAACCCAACTTAATATTAGGGCTTCAAGATTACACCATATCACAGACACTGATAACACGTAGGGCCATCTCAGGTTTAACATTGTTAAAGACCGTCAATACAACTGGGCCAGAAGGGATTAGACCACACAGCGAGGTCACTGACAGGTGGCTATCTCATTAACTCAGCTCTCAACTAACATAAGAAAAAGAAGATCATGGGGGACCAACAGGCACCGATTGGAGAAGTTTTCTATATAGAGGGAGCAAGTAGCTACAAGTAGGACAGTGGGGCTTTAAATGATGCCTTTAAGAAGTCATTAGGACAGCATCTTGTCTTTAAAGATGCTGTCAACATTCTTCACAGCTGGCTAATGAATGAGATGGGACTGATAAAGAGAGCGCCGACCCCGTCACACTGATTACACACGACGCTGACATTTGCTAAAATAATGAACTTAGGAATGATTGGCTTGCCATACTCCCCCTTGCTAGTCTAATACTGGCAGACCCAATCCTTGCCAACCGTGAAGAGAAGGTTGAGTTCTGGGAAGAGGTAAAACTGATTTTTGAGCGTTATCATTGTTATTATGCAAGTGTGGAAGAATATCAGATAAAAAATGTTCCCTGAAAAGCATGGCTCTTCAAATGCCTTAATATTCTAAATATAGCATGTAACAGCATTCAAATCAGGGCTGATTTTTATGCCACATGTACGTAGTCCCAGATACAGTGTACATTTTCTGTGTACAGTGCTTGTAACTTTACCAAGACTGGGCTAAATTTCTTTTCATTTTGATGAGATCCAAAAACTTGCAGTACACACCAATACTTATATACTAGATGATATATATTCTGATCGATTCCACACCGTTTCTTTCGCAATGCAATCGCACGACCAGAACTCAACTTTATCTTTAAATAGCAAGTTGCACTACACTACTGTATGAATGACATTTCATCTTAATGCAGATGTCTAAGGTAATTGTGAAGATAATTGTGGTGTTTGAGGTTTGTGGGAGGTTTTCTTATCTTGCCTGACAGTAGGGCTTTTAAATGTGTATGACAATGATAATGGTCCTGTGTACTTGAATCTTACAACAGCGAATGACAATGCCATTTTGCAATCCCAGTAGAAGTACTGCAGCGTGGGTTGATTTTTAGTCCTATCTGTTCATTTTATTAAAAAAATATAAAAAAATAACCCTTGTATTTTTTTTTAAATTCAAGCAGACTGCTATCTCCTTTTTCAATCCCATTTAAATCAAGGTAATGCCAGACAGTGTTCTACTGTATGAACAATACTCAAGAATTATATTCATTTTCATAATAAAAGGGGGTGGGGTGTTTAGATGAGCAATTACAATGTAACTATAAATGCATTCTCTGTCATTAAAATGAAAGTTAAAATGACGGTAACGCACAAGAGTGTTCTACTGTATGAACAACACTCAAGAAGTATATTCATTTTCATAATAAGAGCGAGTGGGGTGTTTAGATGAGCAATTACAATGTAACTAATGCATTCTCTGTATTAAAATGAAAGTTAAAATCAAGGTAACGCACACGAGTGTTCTACTGTATAAACAACCCTCAAGAAGTATATTAATTTTCATAATAAAAGGGAGTGGGGTGTTTAGATGAGCAATTACAACACACGTAATGCATTCTCTGTATTACAATTAAAATTAAAATCAAGGTAACGCACAAGAGTGTTCTACTGTATGAACAGCACTCAGGAATTACATTCATTTTCATAATGAATGGACGTGGGGTGTTCAGATGAGCTATTACAACACAAGTTATGTACTCTCTGTAAAAATGAAAGTGAATAGAAAACAGGCAGCAAAACACAACCATCTGATAGGATTGAGCTTTCATGAAAGGAAAAGAAAAAAGAAGAGGACAATTTAGCAAACATTTAAAGGCCACAATACATTTAAAACAAATTTTTTATTCCAGCAAGTGATCTTCATCTTTCTTTCAATGAAAATGATAACATCAAACTGTTCTCACATTTTATGCGAAGGTCTGGGACCCGTTTCACAAAGCCTTTTTTCAATGACAAATGACAAAAATTAGTGAAAAATCTGCTGATAACCAATCAGAAGCAAGGATTTCAGTAGCTTATAACAAAGACTGTCATTTGTCGCTGATGACAAGTTTTGTGAAACAGGGCCCAGAACGAGACTTTAATACAGTGAAACTGACCCTCATCTTTCATTCAATGAAAGTGATAACATCAAACTGTTCTCACATTTTATGCGGAGGTCTGGACTCTGGAGGATGATGCAAGTAAAAGGCGGCGGCACTTTCCTGGCGAGCTTGAGATCTTCGAAGCATACATATATTTATAAAAAGAGAAATATAGAGAGTCTGGCATTTTTTAGAGAATGCTACATGGACATCCCGATTTACTACTACCGTCCGTTTTCCGTACCCGTTGTGTGATTGGCGGGTTCTCGTCGGCTTGGAATTTCCTGGAAAGAAAAGAAAGTAAACGCATGACACATTTCTGTTTAAATTTGAGGTTTTTACAAGTTTAACGTAAAGTTGAGATATGGGTGGTGTTTCGCAAAGCCTTTTTTCAATGACAAATGACAAAAATCGGTGACAAATCTGATGATAGCCAATCAGAAGCAAGGATTTTAGTAGCTTATAACAAAAATTGTCATTTTTCAGTGATGACAGGTTATGTGAAACACCCCCCTGGGCCTTGTCTAATAAAGAGTTACCATTGATCCGAATCAATCGCAAGTCCTCCAATCAATTGTAAGTTTGCAGTCTCCTATCTCTTATGTACATGGTTGTGAACAATATCAATTGCATGTAAGTTGCGGTTAAATATCAACTCTTTATAAGTTGGGGGCCTGGTGATATGATTGCATTGCTATGAGAATTTTTAGAAGCGTCAAACCAATATGGAATTAACTCTGTTCCATTTGATTTATTTTTTTGAAAATGAAATAAAAATTAAAAAATTACCTTATTCTCCTGATGAGTTCAAAGAAAGAGTTATCAACATTCATCCTAGTCTTTGCACTGGCTTCTAGGTACTGGAGTTTGAGTTCGTTACCGAGCTGTTGGGCTTCTTGAAGAGATACCTAGAGGGCGGAAGGATGGGTGGGAGGGGAGGGGAGGGGGAGGGGAGGGGAGGGGAGGGGGAGGGGGAGGGGGAGGGGAGGGGAAGGGGGAGGGGGAAGAGAAACAGTGAGAAATTAAAAAAAATAAAAATCAAATCATTTTTATTCAACAAAAAAATGGTATAATACAATAGAACATTTTACATCTACATGCATAAAGTAAATGCTACGGTCACAAATACCATTACGAACTGCTACGAACGCTGTACGAACTATATTCAGACAATGTCAATGGAAAACAGGGAGATTCGTATGTAATTATCGTTCGTACAAACCTTTGTGACCGTAGCATACCATACACTATATTTGGTGGAAAGTGGTACATGTATCTCTCTGTTTTCTATTACTTAAAGCCCCACTGTACTACTTGTAGCTACTTGCTCCCTCTATGTAGAAAACAATGCCTAATCGGTGACCATTGGTCCCCCATGATCCTCTTTTTCTTATTTTAATTGAGAGCTGAGTTGATGAGATAGCCGCCTGTCAGTGACTACCCTGGGTGGTCTAATCCCTCATGGCCAAACTAGTACAGACGGCCTTTAAAGTAGTCACCCAAAGAATCAAAATTGTTTTGAATTGATGCAAAATTCATATCATTGCGAAGGGGAAGCCTTACCGATCAAATATAATAACTCCCCTCTTCAAAATATGTTCGGGGCCCGCAGTAATCATCTCTCAAAAATGTTAATTTTGAGATCCAGATTTTCTGCCTTCAGCGGTCCTCTGTAAAGCGACTTAACAAAATATGCTTTAAATATACTGTAGCACTATTAAAAAAGTATTTGACATTTATAATATTGTTCAAACATATTTTTAAAGATTCCTGAATGTGGTAGGAAAACTTTTTCACATAAAAGTTTGAAATTCTCTGTCTGGATAACTAACCTGTCCAGACACCCCCAATGTATTTAAAGACCGTCACCACTACTGGGCCAGAAGGGATTAGACCACACAGAGAGCCATCGAGGTCACTGTGACAGGTGGCTATCTCATTAACTCAGCTCTCATTTAACATAAGAAAAAGAGGATCATGGGGGACCAACAGGCACCGATTGGGGAAGTTTTCTATATAGAGGGAGCAAGTAGCTACATGTACAAGTATGGCAGTGTGCCTTTAAATGTGAGTAATCTTATGCCACTCATTTGTAATCCTTAGGCCTGTCCTCATCAGCTTGAGTTTGCCAAATAACCCGCTATTTTCAGACTCGGGTTATAATCCCAAAGCTTGAAATTGCGTCTTCACCAGACCGCTACGCTCATCACAAACTACATTCTCGTTCGGACGGGCTCAAATTAGCCTCTATTTCTCAAATAGCTGGATATTTTGGAAACAAGACCAAGATTTCTCGGGATATTTTCTTGACCAGATATCTCGCTTATTGCGACTGCGGGCTGATGAAGATGCAGATTAACTGGTTAATTTGCGATTGGGATAGTTAAAATAGAGAGTTACATTGTATTTGGCAAACACAAGCTGATGAAAACAGGCCTAATGATCTTTATGTAAGGTTGACTCACAGTACAAGGTCCACATCCACATACATGTAGGCAGCACAATCGATACTTATATCCTCATAAATATTTCATTTAAAGGTAAAGACGAGTTTTGGCAACGCCCCCCTCTCAAAATATGAAATGGAACCTCTTATTACCAATCATGTGAAAGAATGTGTTTAGACTAATACGTGATGATACACATTTTGCCGAGAAACCGCCTACTAATTGATATATTTGGTAAATTATTATATCTATTTGGACCTGATAGATATCGAGCACGTGTCGCGTAGACCCATATACATCTTTCTGTATACAGTGCTTGTAACTTTACCAAGACTGGGCCAAATTTCTTATCATTTTGATGATTTCAGAACCTTGCAGTATACACACCAATACTTATGCTACATGTAGATGATCAACCTTTTCTGATCGATTCCACAACGTTTCTTTCACAATGCAATCGCCTGACCATAAGTGGTCTTTATCTTTAATTGACTCACAGCACAAGATCTACATCCACATTGTGTACATGTACATGTAGGCAGCACATTCGATAATCAACCTCATACATGTATATTATATATTTCACTTTTAAAAATAATCTAACTCAGAAACAAGGAGGGACAATTCTGAGAAGTTGACATTTCCTGATGTTTGAAATTGATCTTGCAGTGAAACCGCAAGTTCCAAAGCTAGGGCATTGGCAGGAAACGTCCTCGATAACATAATGTATGATAAAAATTTACAAAAAAATGCACTCCTACAATGCATGAAGTCTAATCGTAAACGGGATAGACCTCATATACTGTACATGTAGCTGACAGGTGTAAATCAAACAATATGTTTTTAACTTTTATACCAGTAAAATACTCTACTACTACAGTATAACATGGGTTATATTATCTTGAATCATATACCAATTTGGTGCATGATTTTAATACTAAAATGGAAAGAAATTTCTTAAACTTAGTTTTGAAGCCGTTTTCCCCCTCCTTTTTGAGAGACGACTGCCAGGATAGTAATGCTGCTACAGTGTATGTTTGCAAATTATGTTCAAAATCAAGTCAGTCAGTGAAAGAGAGGGAGAAAAGGAGGGAGAAAAGGAGGGAGAAAAGGAGGGAGAAAGGAGGAAGAAAAGGAGAGAGAAAGGGAGAGAGAAAGAGACAGAGAAAGGGAGAGAGAAAGGGAGAGAGAAAGGGAGGGAGGGAGAGAGAGAGAGAGAGAGAGAGAGAGCAGGCTATTTTTAGAGATTGTAAGAATCCTGCTTCGTCAGAAAAGAAGTGATTTCCCAGAATTTGAGCTAGGCCCCTATAAAAACCTGCTATGTACATGTACATTGCTCCCCTGAAGGCTGAACTTGATAAAAAAAATGTATCCTTACCAATTTTGTACAGTGTGCCACCAACATACAATAGTGCTCCTCTTTTGAAAATCAATGTGCTTGAAGTTTTTGCAGATTTCATGAAATTTTCATGCAATGACATTATTGAATTGTAATTGACAGTCACATAACTCTAAATTTTCTCATGATGCATTATTTAGTTTCATTTAACAGTTCGCAAAGTTCTATGTCGTAAAAGTGTCTGGTTTTCCAGTACACAAAAAAAGCAGCATCTTTCAACATTTCAACTCAAAAGACACTTGGAACCTACTCGTCCAAAAATGTTCTGAACTTTGCCCCCCCCCCCTCCTTTCCCCCTCCCCCAACATAAAAACTAAAAACTCCCCCCCCCCCCCCCCCCCCCCCCCCCCCCCCCCCCCCCCCCCCGCATATTGTTCTGTACTGACAGTTTCAACCATTCAATTTTGCTCTTTTGGAATACCAGTAATCACAACTCAAAAGTAAAATGCTAAGCTATTTTGTGCACTAGCTAACAGTAACTAATGTACAACTGCAACATTCCAAAGCTATATAGACTGAATCGAGAAGACAAGGAACTTCGAGGATGAGGAATTTCCTTGACTTTTTTTTAGACACTTGGATTCCCAGGTCTCGCAGAGATAGAGTTTCCTTATTCAAAAATAGCAACCCTGTTTACATCTGGAAAAAAATGTGATCTGGTTGCAACCCTTAGGGGCAGTATTAAAGGGTAGCGGCAGGGGCAATTTGTCTGAATTTTCTAAACATGATAGAAAGAAAGAATGGAATACTTATTTTTTTCTTTTTTATCGAAAGAGATAATGTATATTTCAGTTGACGGGCTGATTAAATGAACAATACTACTGAAAAATGAGCTAACCTTTATTAGGGCGGGGGTTCAGGGGTGGGGGGTTCAGGGGTGGGCCTTCTTTCTCTATGCCTGCTTCTCAGAGCTTTGAGAAGGAATACTCCCGCTCCCCCCCCCCCCCCCCACTCAGTGTTATTTAGGGTAGGAATATGCGTGTTCCCAGCACCCCCTCCCCCCCCCCCCTTTCAGCTTAAGTCCGGTGTGTAAAGTCAATACGGGTAGATCTTTTTCTTTTGTTATACAAGCCTTTTCAGCACCCCCCCCCCCCCCCCCCCCCCCTTTCAGCATACTGTAAGTCCGGTGTGTCAAGTCAATACGGGTAGATCTTTAAGATCGTTAAGAACCAAAGATTTTGGGAACATGCATGCGGTCCCTCCATTCCCGGAGTGGGGGGGGGGGGGGGAATACTGTAATTGGGGCCAAAACTGAAGAGACTCTGGCATAAGGACTGATAATTTTGCAATCTACAATGCGCATGTAAACCGACACTCTTTGCGTTAAGGTTTTATGCAACAAACAAATTCACTCTCTTATTTCCCTCTTGCTATTAATGCACTTGTGATTTCCACAAACACATGCAAAATTTACTTCTCCAAACTTCCTCTTTTACATTATCCAAACCTTGGTTTACAGGGTGTAACAACAAGGAAATTCTATATACATGAATATATTTATATCATAATCATATATCTATATATATCTTTACAAAAACATTTAGTATAAATAGCACTACTGGTGCAGGAATGATTAGGAAATAATGGTCACAATTCGTATAGGTTTTTGTTCCTACCTCAGAAGATGTATTTATTGAATTCAATAATTACACGCTGTACAATACGGTCTTAATAATAGTCTTGCAGAAATGTTGCCCCATCTTCTTATTTAAAGCTCAACATTTCTTGGCACATGGCACTGTTTTTGCCTACCGGTACTTAAAAAAAGGCCAACAAAAAAATCTGCTTTGTTTCTGATGGGAACCATGGAAAACTCATCCCAATCAAAAAACAAAATGGCTGCCTGTCTGATGGTGGCCTTCAAAAATCTCAAACAAAATGGCGGCGGGTACTTACTATTCTACTGTCCTCTAGATCTGCTTTGTTTCCGATGAGGATCATAGGAAACTCGTCCCTGTCCTTTACTCGAAGGATCTGTCGGTGGTACTTGTAGATTTCATCAAAACTAGATGGGAACATGGGTCCAAGACAGGAAGGAAACAAGGGAAATCATGAGTGAAAGAGAAAGAGAAAGAGAGAAACTGCGAGAGAAAGAGAGAAACTTGGAGATATACACTGTAGATCATATGTGCAACAACAATGGCCTATCAGCTAGACAATTGTTATATTCTTTGTTCAATTTCGTTCATTCAAAGAGAGATAGATAGAGATCAGTATTTTCAAACATAAAACTCATTAAAATCATTGATTAAAGAGTTACATGTATTAAAGAAGGTAATGGCAATACACAATTGCATTCATTCAAACAGAATTAGATAGATATCAGTATTTTCAAACATGAAACTCAATAAAAAAGCATTGATAAAAAGAGTTACCGGTAAACGTATTTAAGAAGGAAATGGCATTGAGTTTTATTTTCAATACAAACGAAAATACCTCCCGAAAGAAGGAAATAGCAATGCACAATAACAAAATGTGAACAAACTCAGTGGGGGTTGAAATAAAAGATGGTTATTCCATCTTTAGCAATTTCAACCCTGTATTTAACAGAAAAAAAACCATCTTGCAGATCTCTGTTTATTACCTTGTTCTGTTGGTGAGGGCGAAGACGAGCAGGAAACCATCTCCTGTTCTCATGTATTGCTCTCTCATTGCACTAAATTCATCTTGCCCAGCTGTGTCGAGGACTGTGCATTAAAAAAAAAAAAAAAATTAAAAATGATGGAAAAAAATTGTTGGGTTAATCAAATTACAGCAACATTTTTAGAAAAGGAGCAAACATACATGTACATGTATCTATCTTTCACTATACATGTATGTAGCAACATTATCTTTAAACGTCTTGTTCACACCAAGGTGTTGAACCCATGTGTACGTTTCCATTTTGATGTGAACCCAAGAGAAAGGAGTTGACATTGATCTAGGAGGAGGACTACCATACAGCTCCCCTTTCTCTGTCTTTCTCTCTCGCCCACTCCCTTCCTCTCTCTCTTTCTCCCCTTTCTCTCCCCCTCTCTCCCTCTCTCCATCTACAATGTACCCTCTCCCCACTCTCTATCCCTATCCCTCTCTCTCTTTCTCTCTCGCCCACTCCCTTCCTCTCTCTCTCTTTCTCAGGGCCCTTTCTCTCCCCCTCTCTCCCTCTCTGTATTTTTCTCTCTCCCTCCCTCCATCTCCCACTCTCTTCCCCTCCCCTCTCCCCCTCTCTCCATCTACAATGTACCCTCTCCCCCCACTCTCTATCCCTCTCTCTCTTTCTCTTTCTCTCTCTCTCTTTCTCTCTCTCTCCCTATCCCTCTCTCTCCCTCTACAAGTACATGTACATGCATTGGGCTGTAGTACATTGAAAATGGTGGGTGGGGGGGGGGGGGGGGGAGGGGGAGGTTTCCGCTATAATCAATGCATAATTTCTTTCTGAAAAGGATCAAACATATCATGTATTATCTTTCACATTGACACAAGCAAGTGAAGACCCACTCAAAAATAGGAAAAAATGGGCAGTAAAGCGGCAAATACTTCCTCTTTGGTTAGAATAACAATTTTGGAGACACCACAAAGTACCTCTTCGGCTGGTTCAAGTTCCCACTGATCCCAGTAGGAAGCTACACGAATGAGTCATGGCCTAAACTTAAAGGGATTGGGTATCAATATAGGCCTGTCATCATCAGCTCGAGATAGCCAAATTGCCTGCTATTTCTGATTTGGGAAATAATCCCGAAGTTACAAATCGCGTCCCTATCAGTTCGAGACTTGAAATTCGAGCTCAAGAAATTAGCTAGAGATTAAAAACAAAAATTCTTCTGTTTCAATTATTATTTCTGAAAAATGAACAGAGTAAAAGCAACAATATAATATATAATATCATTTTAAAACTACAAAACAGGCACCCGCTCATGCACTCATATACATATACACACCCACACCCACACATTCACACTCACATACTTTCCCAGGGGGCAAGTTTACATTACAAAAAGTCAATGAGGATGTTAATGACAACAGAGCTTTGCAAGACTACTACTCAATTTCAGTTAAACTTGATAGACCATTTCTTAAAATGGACTTGTAACTTATTTTTCTTTTGGGCAATTTTATATTCTATTTTTTTTTTTGCTCAGCTTTCGCACATACATTGTATTGCGAGTCTTTGGGCTGGTGAGGATGCACCGGACAAATACCGGTAGCTGGATATTTTGCCTATTTTAGCCCAAGATATCTTGGGATGATTGTCTCGACCAAATATCCCGCTAATTGCTACTTTGGTCTGATGAAGACGCGATTAAACTGGATAATTTGCGATCGGGATAGTTCAAATAGCGGGATATTTGGCAATGGCAATCTCGAGCTGATGAGGACAGGCCTTTTGTCTCAGATTCTGAAACAAAATTCTTGATTTAGCTCATGCTGCAATCATAATTATAAACCATTAGGTCAGTCAGGAACCCCATGACTTTTACAAGCCGATCGGCTGTCTGATTATCAAGATATTTATGATTTGATTGAATATAAAAATTTCATTTTTCGTTTTCCTAACGGTTTTTTGTAACAGTCTATTGGAGAAAATGAGTATAACCGGTCACTTTAGATATTTACTTTCTTGATCCATTCCACACCTTTTCTTTCACAATGCAATCGCATTACCAGAACTCAAGTTTATCTTTAAACATGTGTAAATCAATGACTCAGTGCATATAAAAGCGATATGTACAGTATACAGTACATGTACAGTAGCAATAATACCAAGGGCCAAAACAACCAATAAAACATCACATGACTGTCTGCCATGCATTGCTTGGTCTATTCACATCCCTTTTCGGGCATCAACATGTACCTGGTACAATGTATGTTGTTTAAAACAAATACAAAAGGTAGGCAATTGATATGCAAACAACACTTAGTGTAATTAACTGACTCATTGTACACATACATGTAACAATTACCCAAGGCCAAAATGATGTTAGATTAAATTTAAATATTGACTTATTTTGACATGCTTTGCTGATAACTTTAGTTCACTACTTGGTATTAAAACTTCTGTGAATACTTTGGCTTCTGTACATGTATGATTTGTACTCCTTGTAAATTTGATGTTTTTGTTTTTTGTCACTCAAGAAAAAATCTGTAGACTGGTTGAATTGTGGCTTCTGTTGAATCCTTAAAGATGTAAGCATTCTCACAAAACATTTAAACCACAACAAATTAATTGTTCACATACTTTAAAAAGTACAAACTTGGTATAAAGGGTATATTTTGAAATTCCTCTGAGCAGTGAAAGAAATTGAAATCGCACTCTCATTCTCTCTTGTCCGTTGTGTTTTTTTTTTTTTCATTCTAAATTAATTTTAAACTAAATTAATGAACAATTCAACATGTATGTATTTTCACATTCATGTCAAAAGTTCAAATGCGAAAGGCATCTCATATAATTGATGAATTTCCCGATTGAAACATAAGCAAGGGAATCTTTAAATTGGCAACATGGATTTGATTGCAAAATCTCTTATTTTTCCTGCAAAGGATTTGAAATTTAAAAAAATATGCGAGTGCACTGTACATTATAAATTCTAATTTTATTAAAGAGAAGAAAAAACTGAAAGGAAAGTATAGCCAATTTGATTGAGCAGAGCTGATATTTCAGTTTCACACCTGTCCTCCAAATTTAGAGACAACATACAGTACAGTTGTGATAAGCACACGGTAGTACACAGTAGCTTTAATTGACGGGTTGCTATTTGAGTCTTGTTATCTGCTCACGAGGAATGCACGCAATGTGAAATCAACCCGCCAGCTAACCAGTAACCTGCTCGGAATCCTCCCCCAGAGTTCAAACTCTCCCCTTCCATAGGTTTAAAGGGATGGTTGAGTTTTGTTGCAGAGGGCTTTTTGGTGTTGGTTATAATACCGGTACCCACAACCAGCCGACCCGTGTATTGTGATTATTATTAATAAATTAATAAACGGTCACCATATTTTTTTGAAAGTGTAGCTGAATTGGTATGATCAACTTGGATAAATTTCACTCATTTGGGGGTCTAAAATTATCTTCATAGCAATTTTAGGTCCTAAAAGAGCACTACAAATGTCATAAATAAGAACAGGAGTGATAACCAGGCACTTTGAAGACATTTACGGTCTGAAACAAGAACTCAATTAGCCCTTTAAACTTTAAACCGGATAGTCTCATGCTCAGACACAATACTGTGCATTAAAAACCAGGAACTTCTGCAACATGAAACTTTCATGAAAGGTCTTTTTTTCTAGCATTTTATAATAATATTTGGTTCTTGTATATAGCGCACAAGGTCGCATATTACATTAAAACCTCTCTTTGCGCTTCAAAAGAGCTTTGGAAATGTTACTCCGGCTTTAGCATGGCTGCTATTATGGCGCTCTAACATTACACCGTTGCCAAACAATGTAACCCTAGCTTCCTCATGAAACCGGTGCTCTGCATAGAGTACCAAAGTATGACGTTAATAATAATCAGACATACACATGTACTGCCAAGTTGTCAAGTTTACTGGTTCTAAGCCATTTTGTGCAAAATAAATAATGGTGTAGTGATGACACCAGCCCCAAACTGTGAATTGTTTGCTCCAGCTCGTTGCTTGAATGATTTCACAGTGAACCTCATACATAGTCATAGGCGCTGTTGTTTAGAACCAGTAACCGAGACGACAAACAAATACGACCTTAGTACTTTAGTACTCTATTGATATTAAGCTAATAATTTTTAACACATGTATTCAAATTTCTTAGTAACAAGGAAAATCAAACATGAAAAGTAAACATTGAACAAATCATCTGTTCAGAGCCGGAAGGGCCTTGAAGTCCGGTGTGTAAAGTCAATACGGGTCGACCATTTTCTTTTGTTACGAAAGGACATTTTGGTAACACGCATGGGGTCCGTCCGTTCTCGGAGTGGGGGGCCGGGGGAAACATGTACATACATGTAAGCACTTGTATTTCAAAATGTCAAACAATTTTCACACAATTTTGTTTGAACTTTGAACTTGTACATGTTTGAACTTTGACATGACTTGTTATTATACTGGTGTGTTGGCTCAGTCAGTAGAGCGTCCGCCTCACAACCGGGAGGTCGTGGGTTCGAACCCCAGCCGCGTCATACTAAAAGATGTTAAAAGACGGGAGTTGCTGCTACCTTGTTTGGCATTCTACAATAGGGGATAGAGCAACATCGATCTGGCACTGCTCTGGGGCTGCCGGGCTCACGATCAATTGAGTAAAAAGAATTTCCATTTTCGGTTTAACTTAATAAAATTTGTAGTGGACTTTAAAAGATTATTATTATGACACTTACTGTCTAATTTACATACGGTGTTATCTATGACGCATTGTTTGGTGTAGGAGTCTTCTATCGTTGGGTCGTAATCGGTTACAAAGTAGGACTGCAGTGAGGAAGATAAAGAACAGGAACAAAAAATTATATTTCAATTATAATAACGATAATTATGATTTATATATACATGTATGTACTGTACATGTTTATTGAGTTTGAGTTTGAGTTTATCAGCAACAACAATAAGAACAAGTAATACATATTGTATTAATCTTGATTACATAAAATATATACAAAATAATAAATGAATAAGATAAACATTGTTTTCCAAAATATGTTATACCGGTATATAAAATTACGAATGAAAGAAAATATTATGTACATGTACATGTATGTACCGGTACACACTTTTGTTGAACATTACATGTAAAGGGGTTAATACCATGTACACTGTACATGGACATACTGTACTCTGCAATATACACAAAGTTCACATCATATACAAATCATTGTAATATCCTGACCTCAAGTTTACAGTCTGGATGTAGGAATGGCAATACTACACAATGTGCAAAGAAATGGCCGCGTTGTATGTTTTGTATAAACAGGCTAGATCTGAGAGCTAGAAGTAAAGTCTCATGAAATATCCTTGGACTTTATGTGAGTTATTCAGTCGTGTGATCTTGAGTAATATCAACAATGATTGAACTGGGTTGGTTATCGATTGAATCATATGTCACATGTTACTGTCATATGATTGTGTACCAGTTATTGGCCTATTGCCAAATTATAACAGCTCAGTCAATCTTTTTCAACAAACCTTTATCAATCAATTAGAAGGACCGAAAATGATTCTCTCCAAACGACAACAATACTACTGGTACTACTACAGTTAAAGTACTACATTGTACAACTACATGTATACCATGGCCCCGTCTTACAAAGAGTTGATATCAATCGTAAGTTATTTGCGATTGATATCAATCGTAACTATGTACATAAGAGATAGGAGACTGCAAACTTGCGATTGATTGGAGGACTTACGATTGATTTGGATCGATCGTAACTCTTTGTAAGACGGGGCCCAGTACCACTACCACTACCACCACCACTACCACTACCACTACCACCACTACCACTACCACCACCACCACTACCACTACCACCACCACCACCACCACCACTACCACCACCACCACCACCACCACTACCACTACCACCACTACCACTACCACTACCACCACTACCACTACCACTACCACCACCACTACCACCACTACCGCTACCACTACCACTACTACTACCACCACCACTACCACTACCACTACCACCACTACCACCACCACCACTACCGCTACCACTACTACTAGTAGAGTCTTGTACAGTGCTCATGTCTGGAACGTTACCACTCCTGGCACACCATCATTATTACCCTGGCATTCGCACGACTGCTATTACAGTGCTCTAGCAAATTTAAAGGTATTACAAAGTTTTGGTATGGGGTCATGAATTCGGTTCAAATTTAAATATTGGAATCAGACATACATGCGTTCCAACAATATTCATTGATCATTGTCGCGGTTGAAATCGAGTCTGAAGTTATGAAATTATAAATAATAAACTCTTTATGTTGTATAGCTCCCTCTCAAGGTCAATATATTAATTTAGCTTTGAAACAATGTTTCTTGACTCAAATCGACCGATTAGCTATTCCCGTTTGGAAATTATATATCACAACTACTGTACATATTCTGAGATTTCCATGGTCGCAGCTACCATTGTACGGCCATAGGCGCTATTTGAAATTTATCAAAATTTACCAGGAGCACCGGTAAATTTTTATATTCAATATTTCTTGAAAACAGAAGTGTTTTAGGGGCTAATTTTTTTAGTGCTTATCCTGTAATACATCCACAGAGGCATCCAATATATCAAAATTGTAAAGATTCACTATCCACCCAATTTTCAAAATTTCCCGAAACTTTGTATTACCTTTAAGGAAGGAAGTTTGTTCCTGCCAGGTACCCATTTACAGGTACTTGTACCTCCCCTGGGTGGAGTGCGACAACTGTAGATTAATGCCTTGCCAGAGGACATTACTAAATTGTGACAGGGCTGGATTTGAACCCCCCCCCCACCTTGTGCTTCACAGTCCAGAGACTCATCCACTGTAGGCCTGTAACCAATCATCGGATCGGGGGCCAATCTTGAGCTGATCAGATGTGATCGGATAATCTTTTCTGATCGGTGATCAATTAAAATGATCAGGAAAAAATTGGAATAATTTTTTTTTTTTATGCCGAAAATTTTCAAGTTTTGGGCCATCTTGGATTATAATGTAGGCATGCATTATAATCCAAGATAGCGGCCCGCATGTTTTGCCTCTTCTCTAAGACCAATATTATTAATTTCAAAGTCATGAAAAGGCACTAAATATCAACATGATCTACAATAACTCCAAATCACAAAATAATACCAGCTATGAATTTTGTTAAAGCATTTGATAGCCAAAACCTTGACAATTTTTGGCATTAAAAAAAAAAAATAAATAAAAAATTGCCAATACCGATCACAGGTGCGAGGGTGTCGCTCCGATCTTCCGATCCGATCAAAGCCCCAACTTACAGGTTGATGATCAAAATTATAATTCATTGCTTGTTTACCGGTACCAGGATTGCTTGATGTGGTTGAAATAAATGTAGCCTTGGACTTGAACTTGCATGAGGAAATATCTATACTTCCTCTATAGATGCATTCATCCTCTATACATTGTAGATGCATTCATCCTCTATAGCTGCATTCATCTTGAGCTATAGATGCATTCATCCTCTATAGATGCATTCATCCTGAGCTATAGATGCATTCATCCTCTATAGATGCATTCATCCTGAGCTATAGATGCATTCATCCTCTATAGATGCATTCATCCTCTATATATGCATTCATCCTCTATAGATGCATTCATCCTCTATAGTATGCATTCATCCTCTATAGATGCATTCATCCATAGAAAATTCAAAGGAAGAGTGTACATGTACATGTATGTTATGGCAATAATAATAAATATTTATGCAAGATAATATAATTGATCATCAAAATAGTGCTTTGTAACTCTGTACAGTATAGCACTTCTAGGTATAGATACTGAATTTTATGTACATGTAGATCATTTTAAATGACAAATTTCATGTGAAGATGATCTTTAAAAATAGACACCTGACAACATACAAATGGACACGAGCATACAATCATGTAGAATTTACATGTGACTACCTGTACATACAGATTGAAAGCCAGGGCTGGTATTCAATAAGAACCTTTGTCAGAAATATGAGTATTTTACTTAGTTTTCGGCTTAAATAAAATACTTAGCCAACTTTGTTATTCAGTTGAAGCTTTTGGCTATAAAGAGTATTTCACCCTAGATTTAAGACAGCTCCCTAGCAGACTTAAGCCAATAATTTGGAGACCTTGAATCGCAGGCTTATGGTTTCGATACGCAGTCAACATACATGTACGCTGCGCACAAGAATTAGCGCACATTTAATGCGACGCATTAATTGTACATTATTTTGGATTGACAATTTAACATTGTTTACAATGATTATCAGTATAAAAGTATTCTACAATGTACCTTAAAAATCGACTTCCACAACTTACATGTAAATGCTCAAATGAGATCTGAATACAAGATAAGCTAAGTAATGCTAAGTAAAATACTATCTTTAATAATCTACACTGTACATGTACATGTACATATCATTACTGACTTGAAAATTTGATAAAATTTAATACACGCAATCACGCATTATTAAATACACTTGAGCTCCAATACACTGCCCTGTATCCCAGAGCATATCGAGCGACTGAGGTGTAAATATTCAGTAAAGATGTACACTTCAATTGCTTGATTCTTCACATGGGGTCACATGTTTCATGGGGAGTCATTGACTACCGTTTCAAACAAGCTGGTGTTCAGTGACACACATGGACAGCTGATCAATTATGCGTTTCCCACTGTGTTAGGATTGTCTCTAATGGCAGTCCTCTTCAACACAATCCTTGTCGTCCCCCCCCCCCTCCTCCTCCTCCTCCTCCTCCTCATCACTATCATCATCACCATCTTCATCATCAACAATACATCATCATCATCATTCTTAAAGTCATCATTTTCCATCTTGCAAGGGGTTACTGACTTTCATGCCATAATGACACTCCCGCCCTCCACTTCTTTTTTACTTACATGTAGTCTTTCTTCACCATATATTTCCATGAAGTCCTTGGTCTTCCTTTCCCTCTTTTACTGCAGTCTTACATGTATGCTATCCAATTCCGGATCCCAAGCTCTTTTCACAGGTTCATCATCTTCACTTCTAAACAGGTGATTGAACCATCTCAAATCTCAATCCACTTCTCTTTACCACTTCCGCCAGTTCCTTCGGGACCCAACTTTGCTGCAATGTGTGTGTGTGTATCGAGTTTTTACAGACGTGTATCAATCAGATATGATTATTACGTCTGGGGACTGACCTTTAAACGTCACCATCCGAAAGACGTGACTCAGTTTTGAGACTGCGTCCTCGGCTGAATCAGTTTGTAACTTCCATTGTTAGCTGGATTACAGGCGCGCGCCACAACGCATAGTTGCAATCAACTTCAGTTGTAAATATTGTGAGAAAAAAACAGTTTACCAATTGAGCCATTATGATTACAGATGAGTTCGGGGGCATGAAAATCATGAAAGAACACGCTTGTGAGTTGTGCTTTCCCTGCAAATGCAATAACAAAATATGACCCCAAAATGCTTTTGTACACATTGCCATCGACGAGCATGCAACTGCAACACAACCTGGCAAGATGACAACGAGAATATACCATGTGACAATAAGATTGAAAAAACTTAAAGTTGGTCAATATTCATTGTCGTCTTAAACTAAGTTGAGCTGAGGTCATGCGATTGCATTGTGAAAGGAACGGTGGAATCGACTAGATCTAGAAAAGGTTGATCATCTAGCATACAAGTATTTGTGTGTATTGCAAGGTTCTGGAATCATCAAAATGATAAGAAATTTGGCCAAGTCTTGGTAAAGTAACAAACACTGTACACAGAAAGTTGTACATGGGACTGCACGAACACGAGGCGTAAAAATCCGTCATGATTTTTACGATGTTAAATGACATATTTAGAATATGAAGACATTTGAAGAGCCATGCTTTTCAGAGAACATGTTTTATCTGATGTTCTTCCACACTTGCATAATAACAATGATAACGCTCACACATTTAATGTTCACCGGCCTCTTCCCAAAACTCAATTCAACCTTCTCTTTTAAAATGAAAAAACCCAAGTTAACTGTCAGAAAGTAGAATTGGTTGTCTATACAGAAACATCTACTATATTTCATCCATGAGTTAAGATGACAGTGATTGCAAAGGAAAGGCATGGAAAAATAAAAGTTATCAAACATGCTCCTATATTGTAGCTGAGCCGAATGCCCGACAAAATTGAGACCAGGGAGCTCGGCTCGGATATCAGGCCGGAGTAGCCGGGGTACTGACTGGCTACAGTCCGTTACACGCACCATTGCACAGCACCAAATTCATTCAAAAAATCTGGATGCATCCTTTACTGACTTTGTAACTTTACCTGTATAAACTGTATCGTTATGGCACTTTTCCCAACACCTCCTCCACCAACGACGACAATTTTGTGCATAGGCCCATTGCTGTTACTAGATCCGTGTGATGTCATGCTGAATTCCAAGGCATAAATCCAATTATTAGTTCTCCTTTTGCAAACGGATACAGACGACACTGTTCGTGTTTGTACTCGTACTGTATACTTCGAAGTGATTCATTTGCCAAACCCGGAAGTATACCGCTACAGTACGAACGGGTACGGTACGTACGTACTAGACCGTAACCTGCCCGAGCCTGTCCAGTTTCCGCTCGCTAGAGCAGTTTTTCACAGATAACTTCTCCGAAAACGAATACATTACGTTCTAGTTCAAACATGCATGCTTTCATGTGGTACCTGACCCCTCCCCCCTTTTCATTTTGTCTTGTATATCGGGGAAGGTTGGGGGGGGGGGGGGGGGGGTCTGGACGGCTGGTGCGGCTAGATCCTAAAATCCAATACTAATTTTTTTGTAATGGGTTTTATTTGGCAGAAAAGGGTTTATTTGACAGAAAAGCTGTATACCCATTCTAAGGACGTTTAAAAACGTGGAATGGTTTTAATCATTTTATCATCTTAGGCTAACAAAAAAGTTGATGTATTGCTTTTCATGACCGACCCAAAATCTTTAAGTTGATGGTCGGCTTTTTATTCATTCATTCATGTTTTGCCGTTTTTTAGAATATAAACATGTTTAATGAAAATATCAGCTCAAAGGGAGAAAAAAAGGTCGCCCGACCGAGGGCAAAACTACATCTTTATTATTTATTTTGCCTCAGAGTTGTACTTAACTGAGACTAGATGATTATAAAGCATTAGTATTGTTCTGTAGAAAATAATAACTCATATTCAAGGGCAAGATCTAAAACAGAGTAGTATATCACGCAATTTTAAGGAAATTTCTAACACAACATGCATGATGTTTATTGTGAGCCGCCCCCCCCCCCCCTGACACACACACAACCAGGGATGGTGATGATGTATAAGTGTTGCCCAAGCTGTGACAATTTTTTTTGTATGGGTATAAGTGGGCCTTTTATGAATATTATAGGGTCTATCCCCGCCCCCCCTCCCACTCAGTGTTATTTAGGGTACGCTTATGCCTGTTCTCTCCCTTTGAAAGCACCCCTACTTTTTGATATTTTGTAACCCCCTTTTTTAATTTCTCAGGAATCCAAAGAGAGAGAGAGAGAGAAGGAAAATAAAAACCTATTTAAAGAAATCTCCGGGTGAAAAGTCAATTAAATACACCCCTTTTTTTTAACAATTCTCGGGCCCGACTTTGTCGTGCAAAAAGTAACCCTTTACCGGAGATTTTGTGGTCCCTCCGACCCCGGAGTGGGGGGGGGGGGGGAGGAGGGGGCGGGGGTCTGTCACATCATGCACCCCCTTACAGAGAGAGAGAGAGAGAGAGAGTGTGTGTGTGTGTGTGTGTGTGTGTGTGTGTGTGTGTGTTCATCTCTCGTTATTGTCCCTCATTGGGTATATAAAGAAGTTGCAAAAATTTCATTTGAATTCATATGGAGGGGGAAAGATAGAATTAAACGGGCAATAATGTATCAGGATTATGACTTTGGAGGATTAAGAATGATTAATTTTGAAATGTCCGTTAAAATACAGCGCATAATGTGGATAAAACGTCTTTTATATGGAGAGAAAAGTTTGGGATGGAAATTGTTTTTTGATCATTGCTTACAGTTTGTGGGTGGTAGATTTATTTTTTTATGTGATTATGATTTAAACAAGATTAAACTCGTTTTAGATATTCCACCATACTATATGGAAATGTTGCAAGCATGGCAAGAGACAAGTAATTTAAGATATTTGGAGGGTTATATTAATCCAATTATTTTTAATAATCAGAATATATGTATAAATGGAAAAAGTATATTTGATAGATACTTGTTTGAAAGAGGGATTGTTCAACTGAATCATTTGGTTGAGAAAGGTCATGTTAAGCCTGTTAAATATTTTATGAACCTCGGTATGAAAGGTAATAATTTGCTTATGATTATTGATATTTATGATGCGATACCCAGGTTATGGAAGGATGATTCAGGGTTAATAGAATTCCTCGAGGTTGATTTGATAAGCTTTAATACTTATTTCCATATTTCTAGTAAAAAAATACAGTTTGTGGATGTGGGTTCAAGAACAATCTATGATTATTTCATCAAAGTACTGCAACGAACGTATGATTTGCAGGTAAGGGATGGGCAAAATGATTATGATTTTATAGATAAAGAATTAAAAGAAATATTTGTTAGACCAAGAATTACTATACTCATTAGAAAACAACGTGAATTTCAATTTAAATTATTGCATGGAGCCATATACACTAATGAGCATCTTCATAGATTTGGTTTTGTTGGTGATAATTTATGTTCGTTTTGTAAGCAGGAAATAGAAACATACAAACATTTATTTTTATCTTGTGGGAGCGTTCAAAGGTTATGGCAGGCTTTAATACAACTTTTTGAGTTAGATGAAATTAAAGATTTAGAATGGCGAGATATATTTGTTGGGTTGGTAGGTAGTTCATATAGAATAAAAATGTGTAATACTATCATTTTCATGGTGAAGTATGTTACATTTATGTCAAGATCGGGGGGGGCGAGTACTAACTTTAGAAAAGATGAAAAAAAGCATTTTTAAGTATAGGGATGAGGAAAAGAAAATAGCAATTAAAATGGGAAAGCTAGGATCACATTTTTTAAAGTGGGAGCAGCTTAAGATTAATTAAGATTTGCTTTCTTCTCCACCGTGAGCTTGTTAAAAGCGTAACTCGATTTTGCGGCCTGGATAACTTATTTAGTATATTTTTCTTAAGTTGAGAATGTTGGCAGACATCCACTGAGTGAGTACTGTGTGTGTGTGTGTGTGGGGGGGGGGGTGGGTGGGTGGGTGGGTGAGTATGTGTGTGAGTGGGTGAGTATGTTTGTGTGATAGAGGGTGAGTATGTCTGTGTGATGTAGGGGGCAGGGAGGGGGCAGGATTGTTTCAGTAAAATTATCTCCAGATTTGTTTTTTTTGTAATATATAAGTAAATAACATTTACAATTGACATATTATGTTTAGGTACTTATACGTTTACTTTGTTGTTAAGTTATATTATACTGCAAATAAGTTTGTGTTTAATTATGTTTATGTAAAAGCATCAATATTGAACACGTTTATTTTATTCAATTGTATGTCATGGTTTGTATTACACATCTGGAGAAATAAAACAAAATTGTTAAAATAAAAAAAAAGTGTGTGTGATTGGGGTGGCCTGAGTCACGTCACGCCACTCGATCTCTGGGATTGTTACAAAGAAACAGCTAAATAGCTATATTAAGGCTCATTTTTAATTAATTGCGACATTTCTCAATGACCTTGGTATAGTCTCAAACATGACGACGCCCCTAGAAAAAAAATCTTGCCCCTTAAAACTAGGGATCAATGCAAAAAGTGAAAATATCTCAATACGACCCACCCACCCGCCCCCCTTGCAAGACGATTTTGTCGAGTCTATTGTGTTTCATCCCTTCAGTGGGCAACGTGGTACCCCCCCCCTCCCCTCTCTCTCTCTCTCTCTCTCTCTCTCTCTCTTTCTTTCAACGACTCCGGTGCCCCTTCCGTGGCTGAACCCGGGGGTTATACCTTTGTTCTACACCTACGCTAAGCCAATGATTATCATGTTCAATCCCCGGAGTGAAGGGTAGCCTTCATTTTGTTTAAAATAAATTTTATTCAGAGAGAGTTTGTGTGCAGGTGGCGCTCTTCATCTAAATGTTCTTTTCCATGTTGGTGGTAAAGTTGATGAATCTGTCCCGAAGTTGTCCCTAATCATTTCATTGAATTTTGATCCCTTTGTCAGACCATTCATGATCGATGTACAAAATAAATTCTCACAGAATCCAACGAAAGTTAATTACACTGAATGTTCAAGAATACAGATAAATTACATGTGCCAAACAATTTTGGTAGAAAATGCATAGTGGCTGAGTAATGTCTAATGAGCATTCCGTGTATTAAAGTAGGCCCAACATTGGTCGATATGTGCAAATGGGAGTTGAGGTTTTTATCGAAGATGATGCCCAGTGATTTTGTGTGCGTTTGTTTACATTGCATTGGTTCAAATAACCAATCTACTGCAGGATAAACAATCCAGAATAAATCATATAGCAATTTTCTCTAAAAATACGATTCACATACCAGAGCTCAAGTCCTCAAGATTAGCTTTAATGTTTGGCAAAATCGATATGGTCAACAATAACATCATTTTAAAACAGACAAACAAACTAGGTATATATAGCTGGAACATTTTAAAACATTTTTTGTTTACCCATGTCATATTCATAATTATAGAAATAAACAGGTCGGATCGAAACAGACCAATCCTTAATCATAATGGGGAAAATAATACCTGTATTTCAAAAGAATACAACAGGATCGGATTCTCAGGTCCGTAACTTCTGTGACAAGCCAGTTTTGAAGAAGACAAAATCCTGACAATTTTTTGGTAATGTCTTCCTTCTCCGTCCCTGCCGCCTGAGTGTCGTGGTCAAGTGGTTTAAGGCGCTTGACTGGAGATGCGAAGGTCGAGGGTTCGAATCCCGACACGGCACTAATATCCTTTGGCAAGATATTTACCTGCACTTGCTACTCTCCACCCAGGTGTTAAATGGGTACCCGGTATAGGATGCGAAAGTTCATGTATTTGGACGAGCAAGACGTGTGCGCTTGTAAAATGGCGACTGGCTGGAATGATCCCCATGCAGGGAGTGAAAAATGTGCACAAATTGTGTGCGGGTATAAGCCTGAATCCGATGATCGGGGTAATCTGTAGAGCGCTTATAGGCACATCCGTCGTTGGATCGATGTATTGAGCGCTATATATAAAAACGGAATATTATTATTATTCCATCTTTTTCGGTTAGAGGGAGGGCGTCTTGACCACCTTCAAAACTTTTAAAAACCTCATTGAAAATAAACTCGAGATGTTGGTAAGTTCATTCTTTGAAATATGGGCCCATTTATAATGATTATATTTATGAGCTACTAAAAAGTAACAAAATAAGTACAGCAAGTGAGTACAGTTCGAGGGAGTAAACGCCAAATTAGGCCTACTGTGCTTTCATAAGGAGCCTTTAAAATCTGTGAAATATATTTAAAAAAAAAAAATAATAATAATAATAATGGG